GCGGGCCTGTCCCTCTGGCAGCGGCGCGCGCTGGAAAAGCGCGCTGCATTGCGTTCCGCGCGGGCGCGTCCAAAATGCGCGCGTGGCCCGCGCTAGGCGCCCGCCACTCCACTGCCGGCACCTCTGCGAGACATTCCGCGAACAGAACGCGCGCCTCTGGATCGTCGCACGGCGCCGGGCCGGTAGGCGCCCGGCGCGAAACAATTTTGCGCTGCGCAAAACCAGAAGGCGGGAGCAAGATATGTGCACCAACTGCCATGCGATCCTCGTCAGTAGGCGCTAGATCCAACGCGTCGCCCACCCCCTGTTGCAGCGCTGCCGCCGACTCCGAAACCGTCGCAAAGTCCCGAGGTTTCCCCGTCCAGAACAAGGACCATATTTGCTGGGGTAGGAGACTGAGAGGTGGATCGGGCCCATTGTCGGGCGCCCAGGAGGAACTTGAAAAAGTTGCCCAGGGGCGTCTTCGGCCTCAGCCTGCTCACTTCAGATGGCGGTAGAAGCGGGGCCCCTGCCGGCGGCGTCGGCGTCTGCCATGGCAACGAGATGCCCCGCGACCTGCCCCGCGTGCAAGGCCAGCGCAGCAGTGGCTGCCCACGATTCTCGAAGCTCGACAGCAGCTGCAGCAAGGCGGCCTCTAGCTCGCGAGTGGGGAGCGCGCTGCACAAGAACGTTGACGGCGACACCTGGGCCTCTGACGGGGAAGGTGAGCCTGGTCGGCCCTGCGCGCAATACCCTAAACACGTCGCGCGCAACGTTGCGCCCCCGCGTTAACCGCGCAGTCGAACGCGGCCGCGCCGCGCAGCCGCCCGCCCCCTCGGGAGTGGCAGATGGATGGGGAACCGTGAAATTGCGCATGTCATGCGTTTTGGGCGCCCGAAGCCCGTCTACCTGCATGCCCGTGCAGAGGCGTTCCTGATCGTTGAATTGCCCTGCCAGCCACGCGAGCCAACCCGGGCCAGGTCCGTCTTGGTCCTTCACCGAATCGTCGCGCCAGCCTGGATGCAGCGCGGGCGCGTATGCCGCGGCGACCTAGAACAGACCATCCTGAAGATGCAGCGTGGGAGACGGGCCCGGGTCGAAAGCCATGCCCCACGCCGGCGGGCAATGCTGACAATGTTCACGCAGGGCGGGGTCAAGCCAGAGCCACGGCAGCGCGGCCCGGCGCCGCGGCAAGTCGAGCAAGGCATGCGCGCGGCCAGAAAGGGGGGAGATGAGCTGAGACATGGCGGCAAGGTGCGCACGCGCATCTGCCGTTTCATTCCAAGGGTCGCCCATGTGTCCCGCGCGCGTGCAATGGGCGTTCACATGCGCACGGCGCAGCACTTGAACCGTGGCGCCCGTCGAAGGCATCCTCGAGGTTCAAAAGGCGCCCTCTGAGAACTCCCAAGGCGGCCCCATAAACGACCTGCACGCCGTCGGCGCGCGCGCGCAGCATGCGGGTGACCGACGGAGAAGGTGGGGCAAATATGAGCAAGCCAAGCTGCTGCCCAGACGGCGGCCTCAGACTCTGAAACAGCTGAGAAGAGAGCTTGAAGGCACGCATCACCGGCCTCCCCCTCCCAGCGGCGACCTTGGAATTCAGGAAGGCAGAAGTGACCTTGACACGGCGCAATGACTGTGAATGCCCGCGCAGGTGGGCCTTTGTTGTCGCCCCAACCTTTGCATCCTCCTCAAGCACTGTCCGTCCAAACCTCGACGTGAGCAAGTGGGGGGCCTGAGTCGAGACTGAGGCTGGACAGGCCTGCGACGCTAGCAGACGGCCAAAACTAACGCAAGGTAGGGCGTCGACACAGAATGATCCTCCCAGCGCCCCAGCTAAAGGCCCTTGGCGAGCCCCACGGGGGGAAGGGAACTTCTGATGAGGCCGCGGATGGGGCCGTTGCTGCCTGGGCCCAGGACAGGGGCGGGAGATGGCTCGACATCGCGTCGAAATTCCGTGGACTGTGCAAGTCGGCCATGCGTCCACAGCTGATATCGCCGTCTCCGTCTTCACCGATGGCATCATGAGGGCTAGGAGCTCCTGGCGTTGGAGCAGGGGCCGACTTCGTCATCTTCTCCGTCGGATCCTGGAATAGGTTCTGCGAGTACGCTCACGAATTATAGCCTTGTCGAATGTCGCCTTCAAGACGCCATTCGTGCCCGCTGCTGATGTCCCTCGACTGGATCTGCCAGTTCTAGCCGCTGGCCTGGGCCCTGCTGCTGCCTCGGCTTTATTATGCTTGCCTTTGGCAAGCCCTTGGCGGCGCCTGCTGCGCCGCTGGCTGCGTCTGTTGGGACAGGCGGCCACGGTTGTGGCAACTGGGCTGCGGCTGCTGGAACTGCTGCGACTGGAGCGGCGGCTGAGGGCGGGGCGATAGGTGCCTCCGCTGGCACTGGTGCCTTCACGCCGTTCTCCGTCGCTGCCGCCGCCGTTGTTGTCGACGCTGTGCAAGGTACTATGACCGAAAACTGCTTCTGGATGTTGGACACGACCCCTGCAAGAGATGCGAAGCTAGCTGCCGCATGTGCGCTGTTGGCCTGCAGGGCGGCGACTGCTGGCGGCGCTGAGGATATGTGTTTTTTGCTTTGCCTTCTGCTGGGGCTGCTGTTGACCAGGGCGAAAGGTGGCGCCTCCATCCTCTATGCGAGCATCCCCGTCCTTGTCGTTCTACTCAGCTCCCTCCCCGGCCTCCTCGAGCTCCTCTTACTGCTGCAGAGGGGTCGCGGCCTTTTGCACGTCCCCGAAGAGAGCATGCGCGTGAGCCTGAGTTCGCTGCGAGGCCTCGGCGCTCTCGCCCCCGGCCTTCCGAGCGTCGCTGAGCCTTGATGCGGATGCGGTCGCTGCTGCTCGGTGCGCGACTGGGCATCGCGCGCAAACATGACCATGTACAGCGTGACAGAGTAGTCACGCTCGAGCCTTGATCCTGGCGCCGTGGTGGCCCATCTCGTAAGCACTGGCAATCTGGCACTCTAGGGCATCGAAGCTGATCTTCAACTCCTCCGCGCGCGCTGCGATCTGCCTGGCTGAATGTGGGAGTGGTAGTCAAGGACGATGTTTCTCAACCTTCTGTGGCGCGGTTGGGCGAGGCAACGGTGACACTGTAAACCTGGGCGCTGCATGTGCTGAGCGAGCTCGGCCTGCTGGTTTGGGTGGGGATGCCCACCGCTGCCACTTAATAGTAGGCTGCATGCGCCTAGGACGTCCTTCTTCTACCCCATCCACCGTCAACGATGGGGCACGAGCTTGGCTAGATGCTGGTGAGCAGAAGCGGCATGTATAGCCGGCGAAGATGTTGGCGCGACGGCACGTAGTGCATTCCCAGCAACGAGGCGAGAAGGGAAGAGGGAAGGAGGGGCTCGCCCACGCGGTGCCGCCCACGACTTCATCTGACCGACGCCGACCCCAGTAACCCAAAGTCGACCCAGGGCCGGCGCCAGTCAGATCAAGTCGTGGTTCTGAGGTGCCGAGGTCTTCGAGAAGGACAAGGGCGAGGGCGAGAACGAGGACAAGGACGACGACGAGAACGAGGACGAAGACGAGGAGGACGAGGACAACGAGGAGGAGGAGGAGGAGGAGGGCGGCGACGACGAAGACGACGACGACGACAACGACGACAAGGACGACGACGACGCCGACGACGACGACGATGCCGACGGCGACGACCAAAACGACGACGACAACGACGACAACGCCGACAATGACGACGACAAGGGTGACGACAAGGGTGACGACGGCAACGACGACGGCGAGGATGACAACGGCGACGAGGATGACGAGGATGACGATGGCGACGATAATGACGAGGTAAATGGAAATGAGGCGAGCGCCGATGTCCGCATCCGCGCTGGCGCGCGATCGCGCGCTTTGAAAGCGTCGGCGGTGGGGCTGTAACCCCTTTCAGATGATGGCGAAAACGTTCCAGAGTCAGTTCGGTGACAGTCCTCCTCTCATCTTAACTGAACTCTGCAAAATGATCGTATCGGTTGTCCTTTATATATTCGATCAAATCACCACCACTAACCTCAAGGTCTTCAGCTGTTAAATCCGTAGCGACATGAGACATCAATGGGCCGATATGGAAATGATGCGCTAGATCGTCGCAGCTCCCTGCTCCGAATTGTCAACAAAGGCTGTGAACACCCGTCCTCAAGAGTTGCGCCTTGGTTGCAGGAACAGATACTGACGCCAAGACTCGTTCCGAACTTCGACGATGAGTCCACCCACATCCATGTCTGCCTCCGTAGCCACCATCACCTCATCGTCTGACCTGAGAAAGATAATGTGCAAAGCACCCTCGCCAGGAGGATATATATATATATATGTATATGACTCCACGTCCACGTAGATTGAAACCTCGGTTACAAGACGCCACAATAGAGAGTTAATGCGGTCGCAAAAATGCACAAACTCGTCTGTTGTCTCTTCTGATTCCAGCGCATGCGCCTGGACATCGTCGACCGCAAAATCCACCATCTCGTTTGTGTATGCAAGTGTTTGTGGGCATTCTAGCATGGAATCTGGCACTGAATGCTCTCGCACCGTATGCCCGCTGCACACTTGAATTCCATCAGAAAAAACATTCGAAACCATTGGCCCCGATGTGGTCACGGCATTTTCATCCACATGCCACGCAGAGTATATCCGTCCATGCCCCCGACCAAAACGACAAAGCACGTATTCATCATCGTCTTCAAGTAGTTGTCCACCCTCCCAGAGATCACAAAAGACAAAAATGCTTTGAGATGACTGGTGGACAGTACCGCATGCCTTCTGAATTTGACAGGTCCACGAAGGGTCGCCATGTAGCGTCACCAGGCGGGGCCGTCTGCGTTGCTCGTGAAACTGCTCGCTCAAACCTGGGCTGACTTGGGCTGCTACTTGAGTTAATGTTGGAGCCAAGGAGGAGAAGGATGAGAAGGAGGTAGAGGAAAAGAAGAGGCAGAAGGATGAGGACGAGGAGGAGGAGGAGGTAGAGGATAAGAAGAAGGAGGAGGAAGAGGAGGACGACGAGTAGCTGGGCCTCGCCGTCGCCTTCCTGGCGCGCCTCGTGGTCCTGCAGCTCCTCTTGCTGCCCGGTGTTGCCGAGGCAGCGCAGGAATGCGCGCATGGGCCGACCCCGCCTTCGGCCACCCCGCACGGCGCAGGAGGGAGGCAGGGACCGAGGCTGGGAGGGAGAGAGGGAGGGAGGGAGCGACGAGGGGGAGGGAGAGAGGGAGAGGGTGGGGAGAAAGGGAGGGAGAAGCGGGGAGGGAGGGGGGTGGGAGGAGAAGGAATGCGGAGAGGGAATGCGGAGGAGGAGGCGGAGGAGGAGGCGGAGGAGGAGGCGGAGGAGGAGGAGGAGGCGGAGGAGGAGGGGGAATGAGGAGGGGGAGGTGGGAGGAGAAAAGGAAGGTGGGGCAGCAGGAGCAGCAGCAGCAGCAGCAGCAGCAGCAGCAGCAGCAGCAGGAGGGCGAAGGGTGGAGGGAGTGAGGCATGGGGCGAGGAGTGAGCGGGGAGCAGGGAGGAGGGAGGAGCGAGGATGGCGGAGAGCTGGAAGGGCGAGGGAGGAGGGAGGAGCAGCGACGAGGGCGGAGGAGGGGTGCAGTGCACGAGGGAGGGAGCGAACGAGGGAGGGGAGGAATGGGGGCAGAGGACGGGGGGAGGTGGAGGTGCGACAGGAGCCGAGGTTGAGCCGGGCCCCTCGAGCCGCAACTGGCGGCGCCCTGCGACGGGGCGGCGCGCGATCGTGGCGGCTCGCGCGACTTCGTCCGTCCGCCTTCTCGAGGAGCTGGCGCCGACGCTCGAGGACAGGAGCTCGAGACTGCTGCGCGCTCCCGGCCATCCCTCGGGCTTCCGGGGCCCGTCGGCGGTCTCTGGAAGCCTCTGGGTGCCCCGGAGACCCCCCTTGGGGGATCCTGCACCCGAGGAGCAGAAGGCCTCGCAACTGGGCTGACGTCGTACCACTGGCGTCACCCCAACATGCTACTACTATGCGTGCGTCGCCCCCCCAGGGGCGACGCGCGCGCCGAGAAGTCTGAAAGTACAAGCTCCGTGGCGGGCGCTCTCTGGCCGTACCGCTCGGGGAACAATGCTCGGCAAGATGGCTGTACTGTCTGTTCGGGTCTGACGCACGCCTCTGAGGCGGACACATAGCACTTGCATGTCCTTCTGCATCCGATACCAGGTGGCTGGACTCCACAGATGCGGCCTCCACGTGCAGCAGGCCGCGCGCCGCACCCGCATCCGCAGGGCCCGCGCACGCGGCCATGCGGTGGCCGAGCGCTGGAGCGACGCACGGTCTCTCGCGGGCATCCGGCTCTCGCCAGGGCCGGCCACGTCGTGTGCTTCCAGACTTTTGGTCGACCCAAATGGAGGTCCAGCTGAAAGGGGGGGGGGGTGCAATAGATTTGGGGCAAGTGTGTTGCAAATGTACTGCGCCGGAGAATTGTATTGCATTGTATTGCAACGAATGTATTGCACGCGAAAATCCAGCAATACATTTGCGGCCCGGAATGTATTGCATGCCCCCGATGCATTGCAACCCCACAAATATGTTGCACCAAATCTATTGCATCACCCCCTTGTCGCTGGACCCCCTTTTGGGTCAACCCGAAGACTCCTCCTGGGCAGTGACCCAGACATGCTCGCGCCGTGACATAGAAGAGCATGCCTTTTCATTTTCCGCAATGACGGCCGTCACCGGCCCCGCGCCCCCCCCCCCCAGGTGACGTCGCGTGCCGCGCCGGCGGCGTCCGGGAATGCCCAGGGACGACCGAGGCAAAGTAGGAGCAGCACGCAGGTGGCGATCTGCACCACAGCGCCTGTGCACACCGCAGTGCTCGCGTGCCCCGCAGCGCGCGTGTACACCCTGCGAAATGCTTAAGAAATCATGGGTTAAGAAATTCATAGTCTCAGAACTGGAATAGAAACCTAAGATTTCCATTAAAATCTTAAGATTTACATTGAAACGTTAAGAATAATCGAGACTCTGGCCGAAAACTTAAGTTTCCTTAAGCATCGCCTAAGGTGTACACCACGGCGTCTGTGCACACCGCAGCAAGCAGCTCAGGTAAAGAGCAGCCCTGGCGAGAGGGTCGTGACCTCTGGGGGCCCGGGGGCCTCGCACGGAGAAGCGCAGCGTCGGAAGCCCGGGCGGGGTATAGGAGCGCGTCGGGCGTCCTGGTGGGCCCCGCCCGCCACGAGCAGGGTCTGCGGCTCGGCGAGCCCGAGGCACCTCACCAGCCCAGCACCGCTTGCACGGTCCTGGCGACGGCGAAGGCGCGCGAAACCTGGCCCACGGCCCATGTCCCTCCCCGTCCCCCCTCCCCTCCACATCCCCATCCCTAGCACTCAGCCCGCCTGCACTTTCGGAATCGAAAACCAACGTGACCCCAGTCCCGAACGAGCCGTGACGGCACCTTCGGTGGTACCGCGTCGTGCCCCCTGGCATTTGGCCGTTCTGGGAGACGTCTACCAAATCTCGACAGGAGCACCCAGACCAGTACGTTCATTGCCATACACCACATGCTTGGGTCCCGAGCCCTGCAATTTCGCATGACGAGGCCCTTTCATGGTGCAAGCCACCTGCAAATCCCGCTTACTTACGCAGGACGAAAGATTTTCCTCTTGAGGTGCAAATGGCCATAAAGAGTTCGCAAAACAACGTCGGCGCCGGAACGGACGGCGACCAGACGAGCTGTTTGCAGCAACCGGGGTGAGAGGGATGTATGTATTCATGTCGAATGGGACCCGCGCGCGCGGGGAGCTGGTGGGTGTGCGCGAGACGACGCAACGCCCATCGTGGAGAGTTAGTTACCGAACCCCCCATCCCCCGTAGAATCTTAACACGGGCGGTTTGCGGGGTCCGCGGATCCGATTTCTTCCGGCTCCCTGTTTTAATTTAGTTATAATAAATTTAAAACAAGGTAGAAATTGGATCCGCCGTGAAAAATAAGACCGAACACGGATCCAGCAAATCCGAAATCGGATCCGCGCGGACAGAAATCGGATCCACCGAAACACACCAAAACCAAAATTGGATCCGCGCGGCCTTCATTGGATCCGACGGTGGGTATCTCACACGCGTCTGCTTCGGACTTCAAACCTTCGTTCTGGGCCCAAGAGGAAAAAACTTTCGTCCTGGGGAAGTAACATGAATCCCGTGAAGCCCCATAGCAGCTTGAAGATTCCGCTTAAAACGGATCCCGTGATGCCCCGTCGCAGCAAGGTGGCGGCGGAAATTGATGCTCCTACTTTGCGGGTGGTGTACGAGTTGGCGGACCCACGAGTAACGCTCCAGTCGGACCGCACCGCACCAGCATTCCTACAGAGACTCTCCATCTCAGGTGCACATGTCTAGGATGCCATCGCCAGGCTCGTACATCTCGGCGTGAACGCTCCTCGATGGCTCCCGGCACCCATCCCTTTTGGGCGCGCCCGCAGGCAGTCCATCGTGAGAGCCGCTGCCAGGAAGACATGGCCCCTGGGGATGGGGCTCCCGTGCCCGGAGCGCCTAGCCAGACATGCGCCGTCCTGATGTGTTCCGAACGCGCTTAGTGGGCCCTGGAAACGACAAGGCCGTTTTGTTACCGGTTCCGTTCTGCCGTTTCTTTACCGGTTCCGACGCCGTTTTTTTACCAGTTCCGTCGCCGTTTTTAACCGGTTCCGGCTCCGGTTCCAGTCCTGGAGCAGTTTTTGTTGCCGTTTCCGGTCGCCGTTTTTTTGGCCGTTTCCATTTTCAAAAGACATTTTCTGGGAAACGGTGAAAAAACGGCCCTGCCGTTTCCGGGGCCCACAAAGCGAACGCGGCCCTCGGAAGTCCCGACCCTTTCTCCCCATTGCCGGTTGTTCATCCCGCCTCTGGCGACGGCCCCCTGAGGCCAAGAGCAGCAACAAAAGTGCCGTCTGGGTTTCTGTCAACACGGTGGGCGTCGGGGTAGTCCTCCAAACGAAGACGGTCCGCCTGACGGCGACCAGCCCTCCGTCCAAGAGGCAGCGAGGGGACCCCGATGCAGATGGGGGCAGGCAGCGACGACGGGATAAGCTACCCACCCGCTTCGGCTCCCTGGAGGCACGGTTGGCCGTTTTGACTCCGGGCCTCGTTGCCACGCTCGGAATTTCACGAGATAGCGTTCTGGCTAGTGGCATGAGCGCGCGTATTTACGAACACTGACTTTTGCCAGGACGCATGTCCACAATTGCCTCAGAGGACCCTCCTCCTCCTCCTCCTCCCTCCTCCTCCTCCTCCTCCTCCTCCTTTTCCTCCTCCTCCTTTTCCTCCTCCTTTTCCTCCTCCTCCTCCTCCTCATCCTCCTCCTCCCCTCCTTCTCCTCCTCCTCCTCCTCCTCCTCCTCCTCCTTGAGTCACACTAACATCGGTCCACTCGTCTTTCCCCCTCCCCATCGTCGGACTTCCTGGCCCCCCCCCCATAGGGCACTGGCACATCTCACCAACAGGTGCGAGGTGGCCAGCCACCGCTGCCTCTGCCTCGCGGTTTGGCTTCCGGCCGACTAGACGCACGCTTGCGGCGCCCAGCAAGCTCTCCTCCTCCTCCTCCTTCTCCTCCTCCTCCTCCTCCTCCTCCTCCTCCTCCTCCTCCTCCGCTCCTCCTCACGTTCCCTAGCTCCTCTCCTCCTCCTCCTCCTCCTCCTCCTCCTCCTCCTCCTCCTCCTCCTCCTCCTCCTCCTCCTCCTCAAGCCCTGCCGGAGTTGGCAAGGCCGCCCACGCCCGAGCGCCCCAGGGCTTCTCGGCCGCCGGTGGTCTGCAGCACACTCGCTGCGCCACTCCTGCTGGGCGACCCCGCTCGAACCACAACCAAGCCTTTACTCGGACGTGGGCTGAAGTGCAGCCTCAGCTCCTAGCAGCAAAGGCCGCCCACGCGCAGCTCGCCCCGATCCGCGCCGCAGCACTGGCTCCACCTCTTCCTCCTCCTCCTCCTCCTCCTCCTCCCCCTCCTCCTCCTCCTCCTCCTCCTCCCTCCTTTGTTATCCTCCTCCTCCCTCCTCCTCCTCCTCCTCATCCTCCTCCTCCACATCCTCCCTTTGTTATCCTACCGTCTCTCCTCCCCTCCTCCTCCTCCTCCCCCTCCACCTCCTCCCCTCCTCCACCTTCTGCCCACTCCTCCTCCTCCTCCTCCTCCTCCGTCCTCTCTTCTTCTTCTTATTCTTCTTCTGCTTCTTCTTCGTCTTCTTCTTATTCTTCTTATTATTCTTCTTATTATTATTCTTCTTATTATTCTTATTACTACTATTACTATTATTATTATAATTATTATTATTATTATTACTATTATTATTATTATTAGTATTATTGTTCTTCTTATTATTATTATTAGTCTTATTATTATTCTTATTATTCTTCTTATTATTCTTATTTTTATTATTCTTATTCTTATTCTTATTCTTCTTATTATTCTTCTTATTATTATTATTATTATTAGTATTCGTATTCTTCTTCTCCTTCTTATTATTCTTATTATTGTTCTCATTCTTCTTCTTATTATTATTATTATTATTATTATTCGTTTGTTTCTTCTTATTATTATTATTATCATTATTATTATTATGTTTCTTCTTCTTCGTCGTATTATTATTCTTCTTATTATTCTTATTAGTCTTCTTCTTATTATTATTATTATTCTTCTTCTGCTTCTGCTTCTGCTTGTTCCTCCTCCTCCTCCTCCTCCTCCTCCTCCTCCTCCTCCTCCTCCTCCTCCTCCTCCGCCTC